AACAGAAATTCTTTTTTTTCTGAATCTCAAAGTGGAGTAATGATGTTTTGTTGGGAGGAGTTTAGAGTTTACAGATCTTTATGTTGAGCTAAATGAGTAATTTGTGACGTTTTAAACACAAACCAGGCTTTAGACACATTCTGATGCTGGAGTCTCATCATTCCCCTGATAMAACTTCCTGTTGTTCCTCTTGCAGCTCATCCCTTCTCCGTTCTCYCCGCCCCGGGCCACCTGACTCATCCGTCCCTCTCTCTACCCCAGCTTCCCATCAGCCGCTGACCCATCGGGTCGGCCCGGCCCGGGTCAGCACKCCCGGAGATAAAAAGAAATCATCCTGTGGGACGTGGCGTCGACAGCATCAGGACCTCATTCTCAGTTTGATTTTTCATTTCGAGCGCTGAACTGTGTTGATGCAGGAGTTAATGTTTTATATTGTCTTTAAGTGATGCATCAAAAACCTCGTTTGCTTTATTTTGCCTTTTTGCAGGATTGAAATCATTGCAGAATTGTTTCTTTCCATGTATTTTATTTGCTGCAGTCTAAAAAACAGGAGTGTTGTAGCGTTACTGCAGAAAAGCCTCAGTATTTTTATTTGATTTGGTTCATTTTGAGTCAGTATTAAGCACATTTTGCAGCTTTACTGTTTGTTGTTGTCAGAAAATGAAAACTCTTATTTATTCAGAGCTAAACTTCTTTTTAAAGCGCACTTTTAAATGTGTCTTGATATGAAAAAAAAAGTGATTGTACAATGTAAATACTGCTACGGTTTAATAAAGCGTATCAGATCTGTTTTCAGCCTAATGGACAGAGCTGGCAGTGTGTGTGTGTGTGTGTGTGTGGGTGTGTAAGTGTGTGTGAGTGGCTGATAATGACAAGAGAGGACAAAATGTGAGATTATAGCAACTCTTTTCACTCCTGCAGAGCTGAATCCAAAGGTTGGCCTTTTAGAGTCTGAATTCCTGCAGTAACCTGTTATTGAGAGCAATATCCTGCCCTAAACCTGCTCATCTTCTCCAGTTTAAACCCCACAATCAACAGGAAATACAATCAGTCACCATTATGGAGGTTTTCAGTCGAAGAGCGGCCATTGATCAGGTGGTTTGTCGGCTTTCAGGAGCTTTTTTTTAACACAGATTGTCTCCAGCTGTTAAATTGATCGATGGCACTTAAGAGGCTGCGACGGGAAGAATGGAGGTGACTCTGAGTTTAGGTTTATTGTTAGAGCTGGATTATCCAAGATGAATCAACGTGGACTTTTTTAACCGCTGTGAAGCTATACACTGCAAAAACTGTCCATCTTATCAAGTTTTAAAACCTTATATCCAGCCAAAAAGTCTTTTTTATCTTGTTTTGAGACTGATTTACTAAACAAGAACTGATTGTGTAAGAATAATAATCTTGTTTTCAGAATGTGTAAGATTATTTGTCTTGTCTGAAAATTTGACTCAAATTAGCAAAAAAATTCTGCCAATGAAGTAAGAAAATTTTACCTGGTAAGACTCTTGAAATAAGAGAAAAATTGAGTCAAATCAAGTATTTCAAGAATCTTACCAAGTAAAATTTTCTTACTTCATTGGCAGAAATTTTTTTGCTTAATTTGAGTCAAATTTCCAGGAAAACAAGATAAATCTTTTTTGCAGTGTATTTGGCCATACAAGGGAAAAAATTATAGTTTAAGAAGTACTTCAAGGATATAATTTGGACGCCTTAAAGGTAAATAAATTTCCTGGAAACTAAATAAATTTCCTTTAACTTAAAATCATAATTTTTGTTATAGATTATCAGTTTAATTTTGTGTTTTCATTTTCTTCATACTGCAAAAATTGTCCATCTAACCAAGTATTTTTATRTTATATCCAGACAATAAAGTATTTTTTGTCTTGCTTTGAGATATGAAGCAAGAGCAAAATATTTAGTTAATCTTGTTCGCCTAGAAATTTTCCTTATCTTATTCCGTGGACAGATTATTTCCCTTAATTTGTGTCTGAATCTTCCCAAATTTTTCAAATTAAGTCAAATAATCCTTGGAATAAGATAATTACACTTGGTAAACTTCTTGAAATTGCCTTGATTTAACATAAGACTTGGAAGGATCATTTTTGCAGTGCATGAAATCTAATCTGCTTAAGGGAGTTTTTCTTTTAGGAATACATCAGCTGTTGCAAAGAATAAAGGAGAGAAATAAAACAAGGGAAGCACAGTTTTTAAAAACGGTTCCCTTTTGTTGTCATTTTTTTGTGCAGCCTATTAAAGTTTTATTTTTCTAATCAATCGTTGTTAATCAGCTTCATCCAGGAGGAAACCTGCTCAGGAAAACGACGCTGCTCCTTGTCAAATCTCAGAACAAAAGGCGTCTTCCTGCTGCACAGAGATGATTATCAGGCTGACACAGAGTGGGCCACCTGCCAGCAGCATGCTGCAGAGGCCCTCAGATACCAGTGCTGGAGGAAACGTCTCCCCTTTAGGCACGAGCATCCCTGAGCATTTAAGCCARCCTGTTTTGTCATCCTGTAATACTCTGTGACTGGCAGCTTCAAGTGGTTGCAGATGAAAGAGGGGGCCCCCCCTCCCACCATGTTAATGAATAGGCCCCTGATTGCAGAGCGAGCTCGCTTGCAGAATTACAGCGTCGGCTGCCTAATGAGCAGATARACCGCCGTGCTCCTCGTCTCCAAGTGTTCATATTTCTGCCCTCCACGCTGATGAGCTCTTCTCTGCACAACAGTCAACAAAAACCTCTGTGGAAGATTAAAACATGAGCCATCTTCATCATCAGCCCCCTCCCCCTGCTGCCAAAACTTTACACTGCCAAAACTGTCCACCTAACCAAGTTTTAAAATCTTATATCAACCAAAAAGTCTTTTTGATCTTGTTTTGAGACTGATTCACCAAACAAGAACTGATTGTGTAAGAATAATAATCTTGTTTAAGATTATTTGTCTTGTTAGTCTGAAAATTTGACTCAAATTAAGTCAAAATATCTGCCAGTGGAG